TGTTGTTGAATATATTATAATACAGTGTATTGTTTGTTTTTAAAAGTGTTTAAGTTCATGTTGATGAATAATGGCTCGCATTCTCTCGCATGGTCACAAACTGTACGAAAACGTCACGAAATAATTACACGACACGAAAACAATATTTCGTCTCGCGTTGTTATTTCGTGAAGATGTGATAAATGCGACATGATTGCAATTCATTACATCATGCATTTAATGTGTATTTTGTATCATATAATATTGTCATGATATAATGATTTGCTTCTGCTATCAACCATTGGTTTGTCTAGACAGGTTAATATACAGCTGTGATATTACCCACTACACATTAAAACAACCTTCACACACTTAAACACATTGGTAGGTTTGAAATGAAACATTAGCCTGGGTTGTTATTCAAAAACCTTCTGGTATGTGGCTGTGATAGTGTCCATGGTAAATAATCAAACAAGACTCACTCACAGCTCGGATTCAGGATCTGACTCATTAATATGGTTCCTTGTATAGTCTGGTAGTGTTAAGTAAGTGTGTTGAGCTGTTGGGCTCAGACATATATCTCGGGCGTCGGAGTAATGCATACGTACCAGATTTAACCACTCACAAATTATTTCATATGAGAACATTTTCGTAAGTATCGTTTGTTTTATAGTTAGCTCTGAAAACACCTACTTGTGAAAGGTGTACTTGCGAGTATATTGTTTCAGAAAGTAGTCTTTTATGTAAGTGCACTTTCTTTAGTTCAATGTAAAACACATTTGCACATAGATACATACTATTTTAAGAAAGGTAAATCAGATGTAGCATATATCGTTTTTAGAATCGTCATTTTGTCAAATGTCGGCTTATAATGATCATACAACGAGAAATCTGTGTTTGTCAGTGAAGTAACTCTGTGTCTTGTGTCATAACTTTGTATATTTGTGTAAAAATGTATACTTAATACTGCATCCATTCCCACCATAAAGATATATTTATAAATGTACCTCGTTTTGACAATGGGTACCTGGTATTACACTGTCTCTCGAGTCTCTCTCACACTTTCGCAATCTTGGATCGAAAACAAAGCTTGGAGAGCATAGCTCCATGCAGTGCGAGTCGCATCAGCTTATAGGGAACAGAGAGCATGTTGTGCATTTCTCTGATGGTCATTTTCAAACTAAAAATGGTATCCTCTGTGTCTAATACAGCAGATATTGCACATTTAATCCTGAGGTCCAACTAAAATATTCCTGTAATACACTGGAATTAGCATTTTGATGTCAGGATCCCGGAAGTGAATCGAAAGGTGCATTTCGAGATACGTATTTCAGAAATAGATTGTTTTATCATAGCAAAACTGGAAGCAAGGCGATACATGAGGAAATTCAAAGAGAAGAAATCTAACGAAAATAAATTAATCTTTTGTAAAATGAGAAACAAGTATAAACATGATTGCAGAACAGCAAAATCAAACTATCAATTTATGACACGAACAAAACTAAAGCTATCTCTGTCTGATTTAACCACATTTTGGAAAGAGTTACGGAGTATATCAGGTCGTAGGGAAACAAAGAATAACATAAGTAAAGAGTGCTGGTTTGATCATTTTACAAACGTTTTTCAGTGTACAGATGTATTACAAGCTGAAGTCGAATGTCAATGTCATGAAGATTTTATACTTGATGGGATTGACCAGTGTATTTTTGAGTCGCCCATTACCGACTCAGAAATCCACAAGGCTATAAATCGTTTAAAGAATGGCAAACAAAGCTATAAACCTTTATAAGAATGTTAAAACTCCTTTCCTACGAAATTTGTTCAATGAGTTATTTGATTCTGGATTATTTCCTGAGAACGGGACGAAAGCTATCATCCTTCCACTACATAAGAAAGGTAACAAAAATAATCCAGATAACTTTAGAGGGATATCTCTATTGTGTACAATTAGTAAGGTTTACACAAGTGTCTTAAACTCTAAACTTACAAACTGGGCTAATATAAGAAGTAAACTACCCGAGACACAAGCAGGCTTTAGACAGGGATATTCTCCTGTTGATCACATATTCACGTTGAATGCAATTGTTAACAAATGTTTATCGAAAAGAAAAGGGAAATTATACGTTGCTTTTGTTGATTTTAAAAAAGCGTTTCATTCAGTAAATCACCTTAAGCTATGGGAGTGTCTGCATGATGTAGGCTAGGGTGGAAAGATGATGAGAGCACTTAAGGAAATCTATGCCTCCGTGAAAGCGTGTGTGAGATGTAATGATAACATTTATACAGAATATTTTGATTGTCCTAACGGAGTTAAACAAGGCTGTATATTAAGCCCTCTATTATTTTCCTTTTTCATCAATGAACTGTCAAATGGTGTTTCATCACATGGGAAACACGGCGTACAATTGTTTCGAGACTTGTTTGAAATAATAATATTATTGTTTGTCGATGATGTTATTCTTGTCTCTGACACAGTAACTGGTTTACAAAACCAACTTAATATTCTTGAAAAGTTTGCAGATTCACATGGATTAAAGGTAAATTTAGATAAAACGAGTGTTGTTGTATTTAGACGAGAGGGGCGTTTATCTGTTCATGAGAAATGGTTCTATAAAGGCAAACGTGTTTCAACCGCCAACTCCTACAGATATCTTGGGTTTGTATTCTCATATACATCAAAGATGAACCAATGTGTTTCAGATCTAGCATCAAGGGGTAAACGAGCTTTAATGGAAATATTTCGCAATCTACGGAAGATTGGTTTTGTTGACACTTCAGTTTTCTTTAAAATATTTGATACTCAGATTCAACCTATTCTTTTATATGGTGCGCAAATATGGGGTGTAGACAGATTTGAAAATAAGAATAAGTGCATATTATGGCTTGTAAGAAGTTACTTAACGTTGGTTTGCAAACTCCAAATGCTATTGTGTATGGGGAATGCGGTCGGTACCCTCTACATGTGAAGGCTATGTGTCGTTCTCTCAAGTATTGGCTAAAAGTGATTGAAATTGATGAAGATAGGATACCAAGAAAATCTTATAATATGCTTTTACATAACGACAAGTGTGGTCATCATAACTTTGCTTCTTCTATTCGTTCCATATTATTTTCTCACGGATTTGGAGTAGTTTGGCTCAGTCAAGCTGTTCGCGACAAACCATCATTCATGAATAGTTTTAAAAATATTTTTTGATAAATATGTTCTACCAATCATGGAATAGTACTATCAAGGCTTGTTCTAGGTACATCCTGTATAAAGAGTTTAAAAGTCTCCTGGAACCAGAAAAATACCTTTCCATTATTACTGAAATAAAGTATCGAAATGTTATGATAAGGCTTAGAGCCGGGCTACTAAAACTTAAGGTAAACGAAGGTAGATGGGCTGATATTGATATACGTTTACGACTCTGCCCAATATGTGAACCAAGTATAGAAAATGAATATAATTTTACTTTAGAATGTGAATATTACAACGATATTAGACTACTATGCATAAATTTAAAACGTTGCTGTCATCTTCATGTAAACAATTACTTGGAAAACTATGTAAATACCTGTATTACAGCTACGAAAGAAGACGTAATTATGAAAAACCCTTTAAATCTGTAAATTTGTACCTGACATTACCTTTTTTCATGTACCACACTATTTCAAATGTATGTATTGTATATGGGCCAGTGGCCTTAGTACAAATAAGGCCTTCTTCTTCTTCATAACCTCGTCGGCATATAGGTACAATGTGACAGTACATTCAATGACAGAAATTTTGTATCGCATAACCGCATACCATGAACACGTCAGGGTACTTTTTGCAAATTTGCTCAGTCCATGCGTGGCTTGGCGAACTCGAGGTCGTCGATCATGTTTATTTCACGTTTCATAGTCACAGCAAAAAAGTGTAGGTTTCTGTCTTCCGGAAACCTTCCGGATACCTACCCATTTTGGATCCGGCCCGGATACCTTCCGGAAACCTTCCAAAAAAAATGTCAAAATTTGGGGGGTGCATTTTGTTCACTTAAGTGTGCAACACATAAAAAATATAGTTGTAAATATCCTCCTCAAACTGAGATATGTGGGCATGCATTGTTCACAAGTTGTCTTGCGACATGGGTCCAATGTGTGAAGATTATTGCTAGTGTCCCCCACCATGATATTGTTGCAATATTGCTAAAAGTGGCAAAACAGCATTCTCACTCAGAAAAAAATGGAAAGTCATTGGCTATGTGCTTTGGCATTTGGCCCTGGTGAGATAAACAGATTAGTTTGGAACGGTATTAGTACTTATATCGGGACAGTGTAGTTTCATGGGAATATAAAACAGAATACAATTGTCCCAAATTGGTGCATAAGACTAATGGCATCCATAGAAAACACCTAAATAAAGTACAGAAAAAATATCAATGTCATTTGTCTGCTAAGGTGGAACTACAACTGTTGTTAAGTGAGCTGTATTTATAGTAGGAAAACATTCAGGGCATTAGTACATTTTATATTTGTTCAGCACCTATGTTATGGCTGATCAGTATTATATTTCTTTATGCTAATGAAGCAAAACAAATCATGTTTTTGGAAAAAAAATCGTATTTATTGATTATATGGCATTTCATTGGTACATATCACAAATTGAAATTTGATCAAGCAAGAAGAGGAACTAGCATAAAGTAACCAGTGGTGTTTGCAAGGCCTTACAGAACAGACGATTCAATGCCATTTTCTAAATAAACAAATCAGTCAAATCTCAGAAGAATTTTATTGAAGAAGAATATCTAAAGTCAATTATGTTTCTGCAGTAAACCACAAAAGTCATTCAGATTTGTATAGTCAGCATCGGTGTACACAAACTGGACATAGTCACAGTGCTTTGGCATAAATTCATTCAAACTTCATTAGTGTCATAATAAAACCACCTACAGTAACACTGGTGTGGCATTATTCATTCAGAATCATCACTTTCTGAGGTGAATCTGTTGGTTGTTATCAGGAGTACTGTTCATCACCCGGCGAGTCCCTTGTCTGATTTGTGTGAGCAAGATCTTCTTAAATGTAGCTGGTGTCAGATTGTGAAATCCAGGTACCTGAAACATTTCATAACATCTTTAGAAACGTGTTAGTCAAAAGTTATGGAACACACACATATTTACAAATGTTTAAAGTTGTTTTCTCGAACAGTGAGGTATTGACAATTTATCTTGCAACTGATATTTAACCAATCTTTGAACATGTAAATAAGCCATTGCAAACAGAAAAGTGTTCAGAAAATACAAAAATGTATCCGGTCTTCTAAAACAATACCACAAGGTTCACCTGAATTTTGCTTGAATGTTTGCATTACATCAAAATGTAAGGAAGGGTAAACAAGACTATGCAAAACTAAGTTACATATGTTCTTATACATAAATACATAATGCAACTATTCATAATTATCAAAACACATGTCATGTAAGTGATCTCAAAATACAACATAATGAGCGCGTGAGTTGGTATAGTTTCATGCAGCATGTTAGCAATATTCCAGCTATGGGCTTCACACATTGTACCCATGTGGTGAATTGAACCCGGGTTTCAGAGACTGTTGCACCCACTAGGCTACCCTTGCACACCAAAAACAAAAGAAAGTATATTAGGAATTCAGACAATAGATATTCTCACCAAATTCATTAATTCATTAATGGAAGCTATATTGAAATTCAAATTTTGACAAATTAGGATGACACTGTAGAAGCATTTATCTAAGTTATTATGGATATTTAATAAGTACCGTTAATTGGTAGTCCATCATAGACAGTGATAAGAAATTCAACTGAAAAGTACAACCTGAACCATCAACTAAAAACTATGTATATTACATTAAAGGGGCCGGTCATGTATTACCGGTATGCTCTCGTTCATTTTTTGACACAACCCTCCCTGAAAGAAAATGCAAAGCACTTTATATTTTATTGTCCATTTTGTCAAAAGCCTCCCCTAGTGACTCTCACATTTTGGGGTGACCCTCCCTGTTTGTTCTGATCTGAATTCAAATATTCATGACTCATTATCATATTTTATAATTTATCCTATCTTTTTGGAAAATTAACTAAATGAAGATTAACAATAACATGCAAATCTGCCAAAATATTGGCCTGGCAAAGTTTAAATTAATCATAATTACTGTTATAAAATTTTGGATCCATCATCTGTTTCTAAATACAGTGAAACCCAACTTTGACTTGTGTGGCATTGTTGTACCATCTACCCAATGTTCTTTATGCATTGATATGCATCTGCACAGAGTGGTCAAAGTCCTTGTCTGACACATAGTGTGCTACAAGGGAGACATCACTTTGTGTCTAGCCAAACTGTCTGATAATCTCAAGGGCTGCCTTGGTAGCATCAAGGGATGTAGCTAATCCTAAATAAACATAAAACAAGTGACATCATCCTTCTACAGAACACATGATCAAAGCCTGCCCCACCTTTGATGTTTATTACCTTGCTACTCTAAAAACAGCTAATTAGCAAAATGAACTCAATGTCAACTCATTGTGGACTAGGGATTAACAGGGCAATTAGTGTCGGGTGGGTATTAGTACTTGCAATTGTCTGTTAATTACTTAATTGAGTAGTGACGGCTTAGTCAGTTGTGCCTTTACAACCACGCTGACTGCTATTCAACTTATCGAGTCAGTTTACTATGTAACATGCTTCTTGGGACCAAGGAAATGTATCTTGCTGGATAACAGTTTTTTCTAATTTATCAGAGATCAGAAATAATAATCATGACGTTTTTGATGTGCATTTCTTTGTTGTGTTTACTAGGATGATTAGTAGTGATGGAGTTTGAATTATTAGACACTATTTATTCCAAAAGAGGAATAGGGTTGGTGAAGAGGCAAAGCTTATTTGAACAACATATACATTGAATAAACAGAAACTGTACAAAAAACAGATTAACTGTATCTACAGTTGAAACTATCATGATGCAAATTTTCACTGAATCAAAGTCATATCTTTTCAAGACTCAGATCAGGTTGTAGTGATTGAAGGTCACATAAAACTTGCTAATTTCAAATCACTCATCCCGCACTTATGAATTGGTTTGTTGTTTTATGCCGCACTCAAGCAATATTCCGGCTATATGTAAATAATCGAGTCTGGACCAGACAGTCCAGTGATTGTCATCATGAGCATCGACCCACACAATTGGGATCAATGACATGCATCAACCAAGTCACCGAGCCTGATCGCCACCTGATGGCGTTATTCAACTCTTTAGACAAGCATTGTCGCCCGTTAAGGAAAGTATTGGGTAACTTTATATTGTGTGTCCCAATTACGCCATTATTAGAAATAAAATGTATTATACACATGAATATGATATAAAAATGGCAAATATGGTTGACAATATGAGCATTGATCTAAGCATTTGGAGCAGAATTGTGAATATTCACCTAATGAAGGAGTAAGTACATACCCCGAAATGTTGTGATCATCATAATAAAGAAGTTGACATTAATACATTCTCCACCTTAGTCCTTATGTGTATAACTTGTAAATAACTTTTATAGACTGCAGGAGTTTATCTGTGATATATGTGTGCACTTAAATAAATCACTGCATCCTTACCTGAGGCAGGAATAGATAATAGGCAGGAACAGAAAAAAAATAGACAAAGTTATAGCCAAATACAGGTATTTGAAGATTTTCAGTTGTGGCGACACTTTCAGTGAAACCCATACAGTATTTGATTTGTAGTTGTTAACAGTTCTGGTATTTTCTGTCTGTAACTGTAAAGAAGTTCCGAAATTGTAGCGAGCAACTGCCCAGACATAAGGAGGAACAAGATGACATAGATATTAACCCATTTGTAAACTGTACAGCCTGAAGTATGTTTGTTGCCACATATCAATAAAATAGTTCCATATTGGCGGATTTATTTGTTGTAATGTAAGGGCAGAAATAGCATCAGTTATTACTGACAAATATCCCTTGTAAAACCTTTCAACATGTTCAAATGACACATTGAAAGGCCATTGTGAAAAATTGTAATCTGACAGCACCATGTTAGGATTCTTAAATACAGTTTCAGCTTGACATTGGGTACTTTAAACTTTAAAGTGAAAAATACATTCACAACAAGTGAGCTGTGTCTGCCAATCAGAGTCGGTGAGTAAATTGGAGTAGGGGACTAATTTCGAAGGTAAACTTGTTTCAACGTTTAACAACTACATGTATTTGTGTTTGTATAAGACGATGTGTGTTTAATTCCATATATTTTACTTCAAAGCATGTTATCACAATAAATTGAGTCGGGTATAGGATAAGTTGGAGTAGAGGCTAATTTCTAATGTAAACTTGTTTTAACATTTCATAATTATTGGTCATTGCAAGTTATCAATCCAAGTTAAATTTCATTTATTTTACCAAGGTAAAAAAAAAAAGGTATCTTTTTCGTCAAGTAATAATCGCCGTTTTCGCTTTCGGCGAGTATTTCGCCAGTCAGTGCCGTTTTGCTAAGATGTCGTTTCAGCTATAACCCGCACATTATAAGTTTCAATTTATATTTAAAATCATTTTAACCACTGAATAAGTAAAAAATGAAATAAAAGCATATAGAAAATAAACAAGCACTTGTTATAAAATGTGCATCCGCAGGCAATAGTTATAAGATAATCCTGCATGTAGCTGTGGCCATCACACTGAAGATGCACTTCACTTCTTTCTCATATGCCCAAATTACAATGATTTAAGACAGAATATGTACTATTATGTTAAGGGATATGATCTAAATTCAGTTCTTTTAGGTAATCCTGAAAGGACGTCAAAAATAAACTTAGAAATTCTTAAATCAGTACAAGACTACATTCAGCTATCCAATAGGTTTTGTGACTTTACATAGCACAGGGTACTGTGACCTGTTTGAAAAGTTAGGTACTGTATTCTAAAGGTAGGGCCAATATTCTGGACAATCCAGTGATTGATATTGTGAACATCAATCCACACTGTTAGATGGTTACTGTCAGATGCCATGAACCAGGTCACCGAGCCTGATCACCTGATCTATTAGGTTATCTCTTATGGGTGAGGCTAAAACGGCACCTCCGCAAAATGTCACTGATTTCTCGGACGAAAACAGCACCTTGTTTTGGCAAAAAGGGCTACTAATTGTTGTCTGTTATCTGGAGAGACATGTTGAATCTTGGCCGAAAGATATATAAATGACATTTCTATAAAATTACTATTTATTTCCTACTTACTAAAATAAATATGACATATATAGTATACCAGTTGTCCAGTTTCTTGACATTTTCGCCAGACTCAGTTTCAGCTTGACATTGAGCTAATCTGAGTAAAGCTACTTAAGACCTCAAAGCATGTGATCTTTCAATGATAAGTTTAGTTGCACCTCCCAATCAGAATCATGAGTAAATTTGAGCAGAGGCTAATTTCTAATGTAAACTATTTTTAGGTGATTAACATCTAACAATTATTTGTGTTTGCAAGTTTAATTGCATTTATTTTACTTCAAAGAAATCAAAGCATATTACATTTTCACAATAAGTTTAGTTGCATCTCCAAATCAGAGTCGGCGAGTAGATGCTAGTTTTTAATGTAAACCTTTTTGAACATTAGCAAGGATTAACATAAGTTAGGTAGATTGCTTATCCTACAAAAATTAAATCACACATTTACTAACATATATACAACAGAATAAGTGGCTTACAGAAGATAAATAACTTTAATATGTGATCAATATTATTAACATATTCCTTACCTGAATCAGAGACCATATAACAGTCTATGTATTATGGTCTCTGTCTGAATTTCTCAGTTATTTGTGTTTACAAGTGACCATGCAAGTTTAATTTCATGTATTTGGGCATATTCAGACCCAAGGTAAAAACAGTAACAAGGTGCTGTTTTCACCAGGCAATAGTAGGCAAGGTGCTATTTCCCTCTATAGTATAACCCTCTCTTACAACTAGCACACCGGTAGGTTGATGGGGACCAATTCCAACCCGGAATCCCCACATGAGTGGGTATGGTTTTACGCTGTTTTTAGCAATACCACAGCAAGGGACACCTGACATAGACTTCACACATTGTACCCATGACAAGAATCGAACCTTTGTCTTCAGCACTTCAACCACTAGGCTACCCCACCTCGAAAACTCCAAACATGATAAAGTTGTCATCACGGTGTTCTTCAACAAGTTCAAGTGAAAATATCCATACCTTTCAAATGTCTTATCTTCCACTTCACAATGTTCACTGTTGCAAAACTCCTGTCATTTAATTTGTTCTTGATTCTTCACACCTGCAAAAGTAAGTTTAGTCGGTACGGTATGAACTAAAAAAATGAGACACTTTAGAGTATCTAGATAAAGGAATATAAGTAAGCAAACATATTTCTACATCATATACATTAGCAAGGATTAACATAAGTTAGGTAGATTGCTTATCCTACAAAAATTAAATCACACATTAACTAACATATATAAAACAGAATAAGTGGCTTACAGAAGATAAATAACTTTTATACGTGATCAATATTATTAACATATTCCTTACCTGAATCAGAGACCATATAACAGTCTATGTATTATGGTCTCTGTCTGAATATGTCACGTCTTCAGCTCCCTGCAATCGAGGTTGTGAAACATTTCTGCTGTAGGAATATTACATCCGCTGGGATATCCCTTGTCACACTGCCTGGCATGGTAGGCAAACGCATATTCCATACACCACATAGATATACTTCCTAATACACACTGTCGAAATCCCCGCGGCTGCCAATATGGCCTGCATGAACTGTAATCGGCCAACCTCGTCTCTTTCCGTAACTGCTGTAGAAATGACTGCTCGTCATTCGTGACCAACTCGTGTTATTCCGGGACAAGCAAGTCTACCCATAAATCCCTGTATGACCGAGGGCGCCATTTTGGAACACAAATGTAAACAAACACTTAAACCTCGTGTAATCGATGTACACCGTGATGCTTGATTGCGATATGCTTACCTCGTGTATCAATACATTGTTCTCAATCACCTCTAACACGGAAATCCTGGTCGAAATCCACCTGAGCCATCCACAACGAGGACGTCAAGTATTTCGAAAACTCGATTGACAGCCGAAGGAAGGAAGAGCAGCTTGCAGATGCCAGGTACGTAGCAGGGCTTCGAGACATATTGTTCCATGATTTTTATACAGAGATCTTACGGAATGGATTGATTTGGATATTTTCCTGATCTCCATGTTACTACTGTAAACGTCGAGGACCTTTTAGTTTCGTTGTTTTCGGAAACCCTTTGTTATTAATATGATCAAGTGTTTGTTGTGACATGGTATTTCTATTTGGGCTTGCATAAGAGCTACAGGTGCAGGACTTTTAAGGGTCGTGTCCTTATTCTCATAACGCTGGGATTTGATTATGAGGGTTAGTTACCAAGGGTATAAATCTGGCAAAGTGCAGGTCAAACAAAATGTGGCATTCAATTCCAATCATGTGTTGCCACCTGAACCGCCTGAAAGTGAGATATGGATCACAATGAACAATGACAGCTTATCAATCTTTAACAAATTCACACTGAAACATTGAAAGGATAAAGACAAGTTAGTTGTTTTCTGTTTCAGTATGTTCAGGGTTTGTGGGGAGGTTCACAGACATCCTCAGGGAGGATACCAAGTATTGAGTGAGTATTTTTGTTTGTGATAAATACAAACTACATGTATTCATCATGGTATATTTCAATGCAATGTGAAACATCACACTCACAATAGTCCAGCTCTGTGATGGCAGCTTGTAAATAATTGAACATGGACCAGGCAATCTAGTGATTGTTATTATCAGCAAAGATCCATGCCCTCAGAGTATGATGACAACCTAGTCTGACCACCCAATTCATTAGTTGATTAGTGTTTGCAGCGGTAGGAACTAACACTTTCAGTCCACTAGTCCTAAAATGATAGCATATAGCAAAACCTTTAAAATGTCAAAATGACTAGTGCCAATTTCTAACCCGCGTGTTTGGATGTTGTGTTTGTGTGTGTGTATGTATGTGTGTATTTTGGTTGGTTTGTTGTTTAACGCCGCACTCAGCAAAATTTCCAGCTATATGACGGCGGTCTGTAAATAATCGAGTCTGGACCAGACAACCCAGTGATTGATATCATGAGCATCGAGCCACGGAATCGAGATCAATGACATGCATCAACCAAGTCAGCGAGCCTGACCACCCGATCCCATTAGTCGCCTTTTACGACAAGCATAATGGCCTTTTACGGCAAGCATGGGTTGCTGAAGACCTATTCTACCCCGGAATCTTCACGGGTCGAGTGTATTCAACTTAAATCAAGAATCTTATGCTTGTTTCTCCATGCTTTTACAATGTAACCCAAATTTTCTCGGGAATAATAAAGTATTCTCTTATTTATATCATTTCTGAACAAAGTGTCATATCAAGGTTAGATCTCTGTCAAAACAGTGCCATGGAAAAGCCAAACAAATAGCCTAGAAATAAAAGTAAATACTGCATTGCATTAATCTTCATTTCAAGAAAATTTGGCAATAATTCATGGAATGATATTCACCTCGAACAAGTTATTTCCTATGTAATGTATCTGTTGAATGACCCTGACTTTGTTGTCAAAATATTGTTTTGACATTTGTTAAATATGGGGATAAATGTCATCTCTGAATGTTTGACATGAAATATTATGATTAGGGTAGTTCTAAGTCGGAATCACAACCGGGGTCTTTTCATTTGAATCAAATGTACAACATGTACAGTTTGGACATTTTTCTGTGATGTGAATGCTACTTATGTTTGTAGAATGTCCGGATGAATAAAAGAGACAGTCATCTGTGCAGCATCAATGCAAAGAAAGACCATAGAAGAGCAACAGTGACTGGTAAATATTTTGAAATTATTCTGTTTGGTTCATATGGTTATTTTGCAAATATGTCCTCAGTTTGTTCCTTATCGCTGTGGGCACGGATGTCCTATTATCTAAGGCACTACAATTTTCTGTTCAGAGTTGCATCTCTTGGGCTTAGCAGAAACCTATAGTCATGGGTTCAAATCCTGGTTCTCCCCGATTATGTTGCTAGGTTTGTCAGCATTATACAAATGCTCGTGGGATTCATCAAAGACCTGCATCTGTTAGGGCTTTCTTCCCACATCAAGTTAACATGCGGTGATATATCTGGAATACTGTTCAAAGCAGTGTTAAAGCCAACTCATTTATTTAACACTGCATCCAGCAATAGTTTGGCTATATGACAAGGATTGTAAATATATATTTTTCCATGTTGATGAGTTGAAACAATCACTAAATGACATCTCATGAAAAGATTCCCAGCATTCCAAGCCTAATTAATAGATAAGGTAGTGATTGAGTAGGCTCATTGATCGCATGTAATCATACCACAGTGATGTGGGATATTGTCCATAATAGTTATCATCGGTTTGTCTGGACCGAGGTCATAACATTAGTCACTGGTTTGTCTGGTTGAGATTTGAGATGTGATTATCTTAAATGTTTAGCATATAACAAGACTCACATATGACAACTTAAGTGATTTTGCTGCCTTCTATCTGTAAGTACATGTGGCAACAATTCTTTTTGATTGCTAAAATCTTTTTACATAATGCTGCAGAAACTGAAGTCCTGCTTGAGATCCCTGGATGAGTACTCCAGGTTGACAGTCTGGAAGGACGAGACAAGGGAGTCCTAAACAGAGGCTGCACCCCTTCAGATATCAGAGGTGATTTGCAGACAGCGATGACGAGGGTCCTGTTATTTCAATGGAGGCCGACCGAGAAGTTGTATTCCAAATGGTACTGGGACACACAAAGGCTGGTCTGGCTAATGTGAGAAGACCAACCAATGCCAAGCTGGAGTGGAATTCTTCCAGGACATTCAGGAAATTCTTGTCTTGAGCCATATGGTAAACACTTGAAAGGAATGATAAATGGGACTTATTGTCTTTAAATGTGGACCCAGACACCAAATGAAAAGTTCACAATTCATCTAACACAATGCAGCAGAGATAGAGTCTAACTGGTATCCCCTTATCCTGGTTCCTGTTCATCCATGGCAATATAGAAAGAAAAGGAGGATTGAGGGAAAGTAAGTTCTCTGAACTGGTGAACATACTCCGTAGGTACTGTCAAGCAAACAGTTATCACACTCTGTTATGAGTATTGAAGAATAGGATGAAATTGCATACTGCATCAGGAACCATCATGTGAACACTGTTCAATGTGCAATATACTATAGGCATATGAATAAAAGAAATTGATAATTTGATTGTTGCTTATGTTTCATTTGCCAGCTGTGTAAATTGGGATGTTTCATGATTTTGCCTCAGTTTAATAGCCACACTTATCTTATGAAACCATGCATTGCCTGGGCATCTCAAGATAAATAACACGTTTCCTTTCCTCTGAAAACGTCTGATGACACATTGATCTGTTATGTCAAAGGTCAAAGTCACAACCAGACAAAAAGTTTGTTTGTGGTCTAACTCTTCCTTTGGACAGGGGTCGAAGTTGGAAGAAGGTCGTGTGTGATCTATATATGATACATTTTCCCCTAAATTGCCTTTTCTGCAGAAGTCTTAGTAACTCTTATACATATACTGGTTACATTACTTCCATATTTTGGTCAATGATATGTTGAATTCTACCAAAGGACTGCATATTTGGTTTATGTGCTGGATAGCTCTTTGCAATGTTTTTGAAATATTTATCACTGATATTGAAGGTCAAATTCACACTCAAAAGTGATAACTCTTGAAGGGTTGAAGTGCAAGATCAAGGCAATAGTGAAGGGGTCATTCATAAAGTATTTCTGCAATTATAACTAAAATGCCTATTTCTGGAGATATTTGTGAAGTATTAAGCACATAGTTGTTATATTATTTGAATACACATATATGTGCAGTGGTTACAACTCCAGTGTCAAATTAACTCTCAATCCCTTTTAATAAAAGAATTCACAGTAACTGAGGAAGAGCTTACTGTAGTACCATACAACTAGGGTTAGGCAAATTTCAATGAAGTTAGTATTTTGGATATAACAAGTACATGTACCGTTACAAATAGTCTTATCACATCTCACTAGGACTAAAGGCCCAAGTGAGCACATTGTCAATGACTTTTTCTTTTTCTCAGTACAAACTGGAAGTCTGGACAACCCTCCCTGCAAGAAAATGCAAAGCACTTTATATTTTATTGTCCATTTTGTCAAAAGCCTCCCCTAGTGACTCTCACATTTTGGGGTGACCCTCCCTGTTTGTTCTGATCTGAATTCAAATATTCATGACTCATTATCATATTTTATAATTTATCCTATCTTTTTGGAAAATTAACTAAATGAAGATTAACAATAACATGCAAATCTGCCAAAATATTGGCCTGGCAAAGTTTAAATTAATCATAATTACTGTTATAAAATTTTGGATCCATCATCTGTTTCTAAATACAGTGAAACCCAACTTTGACTTGTGTGGCATTGTTGTACCATCTACCCAATGTTCTTTATGCATTGATATGCATCTGCACAGAGTGGTCAAAGTCCTTGTCTGACACATAGTGTGCTACAAGGGAGACATCACTTTGTGTCTAGCCAAACTGTCTGATAATCTCAAGGGCTGCCTTGGTAGCATCAAGGGATGTAGCTAATCCTAAATAAACATAAAACAAGTGACATCATCTCTTCTACAGAACACATGATCAAAGCCTGCCCCACCTTTGATGTTTATTACCTTGCTACTCTAAAA